CTCAGAGCCCTCTCTGTGGGCACGCGCATCGTCACCCCAGTCCTAGGCCTTCAGCTAGCTTTTATAAAACCTTTTTGCTTTAGGTCTCCTGGTTGTGTGCAAAAAAAAAAAAAAAAAGTTCAATCAGTCAATTTCAACTTCTCGCAAGGAAAAAAAAATCTTGCAAAGTTGGAATTGATTGATTGAACTTTTTAGTCCCACCCAGTCTGCCGTTACCACCGTAGCCATGTCCACCCAATTGGCCACACCTAGCCAATGGGTGACACCCACCTAGCACTCAATTATGCATAAGTGGGTTTTGGGTTGCAGTTTGGGCACTCGGTCTCTAAAAGGTTCGCCATCACTGAAATAGGCATCGTGGAGTAAAGTTACAGGAATATGTGAGAAGTGCTGCACTAGTTGGAGATTGTGTGTGAAGGAGGTGTAGGCCGGGAAGAATGTCTAGGGTGTTTAGGAGTATGGAAGAGATGCCATCAAAATCATGGACAATGTGTGGAGAAACAGTATGGAGCAGAGAGGGTGTGTGGGTTCCCGAGAGGTACTACATGGGAAAAGCATGCATGAGGAATGCAGATTGGAGAGGGTGTGTGGGGGTGCGATGAAGTTCAGTAAAGATACACAGGGTGTATAGTCTGGTTCAGGAAGTATTCATGGGGTCATGCAAGGGATTCCATACAATTCAGGAAAGGCATGCAAGGGATGACATAAGTAAGAGAGGTGCACAGGAGGTTCAGCATGGGTTGGGAAAGACATGCAACAGGAGCAGTATGGGTCAGGGGGGAGCAGCATAGATCAAGGGAGTGTGCAGGATGGCATGGGCCAGCAGGGTGCACAGGAACCCCTTCCTCCTGATCCTCCTTTGTTTCTTTTCTTGCCCCTTCCCTTTCCAGCAGGCAGGTAAGTGACTAATGCTAAGTGGGGGAGGAAGCAAGACAGGCTGGAAACTGTCACAGAACATTGTAAATGAAGATCATGTGGCCACAGCAGCAGCCAATAGCACTGAAGTAGTCACAATTTCCCAAATTTCATTCCCTTGAGAATCATGAGTCCTGGATTTTGAATACATTCTGTAGATTAGTCTATTTGCAGTACCTTGGTTCAAAAATTGTTGCCCAATGATGCATTGTTTCGCTCAGTTACAAGTGATGATAAGATAACTTTTAGTACTATATAGATAGATAAACTGACAGACAGTTTAGAGCTATGTTTCTCACCCTCAGCAATTTTAGGATATATGGACTCCAACTTCTCTGAGCTGAAGTCCACACATCTTAAAGTTGCTATGATTAAAAAACACTGGTTTAGATAGAAGATAAAGGCAGAAATTCTGGGACCCGTAGCCCAAGTCATATGGAGACACCAAGCTAAGAATGTTGAAGTTAAGATTAAGAATTCATACAATTTTACTGATACAAATTTAAAATATCAATGATTATATTAGGGTGTGGAAGCATCAAAGGTGAACTCATCTGAAGCATTCATTTATGTCCTTTTTTGAATTTTTAAGGGTTGAACCTAAATTTCTTATTCTCTGAAATTTTTTTGTCAGTAATCATATTTATTTAGTCCACTACCTTCTCCCAAAATTTAGTAAGTGTAAGATGTTGTAAAAACATGTGTTTTAAAAATAGCATTTATGTTTATTATATTTCCCCCAAAATACTGTTTTTGACATTATTTTACTCTATAAATATAATTGAATTCAATAAATTTTAAATAATTTTGAGTAAGTCAGAGTTTTGTTCAAGTCTCTTGCTATAGAAGTTAAGACATTTTCCTATTGTTTAGGTAATATAAGAACCTTTAACTCTTTACTCATCTCATTTCTTTGTATCTGCATATCAAATTGATGTACTGATAACAAATATCTACAAAAACTAATAGGAGTTTTTTTTTTTTAGGTTCAGAAGATTTAACAATTGCTTTTCTATATCACCAAAGCTTTAGATTTACTGCTTTCAGAGGAATTAAGTTCTCTTACAGACCTTTTTAAAAGGATTTCATCACAAAGCAACAAGTTGAAAATAAAATATAGTACACACAAGATTTTTTCTAAAATCACAAAACTAGTGAATATATGTCTCATGAGCAAGAAAATCTTCAGAGCAAACTAGAGGACATGCATAATCGTTACACAGCAGAAATTCATGAATTTTATCAGTAACAGATGTTGGGGCTTAGATTTCATCCTCCTAGGACAGACAGACAGACACACATTCTCTCTCTCTCTCTCTCTCTCTCTCTCTCTCTCTCTCTCTCTCTCTCTCTCTCTCTCTCTCTCTCTCTCTCAACAAAACTATATGCATATTTGTAAATGTATGTGTGTATGCATGTGTGCATGTGTGTGAGAGAGAATCGGGAGAGAGAGGAAGAGAGAGAGAGAAGCTCAAGTAGCTTTAGGATACATAACTAAGGTAAAAAAGATAGACTTGAGTATCATCTAGCTTGGATTTTAACAAATCTCACCCTGTGACACCCTCACAAAATTGTTCCTATGGAGAATGTAGCCAGCCACAAAGAAACTTGGTGGACATCAAATTATTTGTTAGGTAGACCATTGTCCTTGAAAGCTATACTAGAGACCCAGAGTCTAAAAAATCCACGCACACAAAGAATAATGCACAGAACACATAAATGGCAAAGCACTTGACTCACATATTAAGGCAAGAGTAATGGGTCCAGGAAACAGGATGACAATACAAACATGTGCGTAAGGTGATATATTCCTTTTATTATGTCAGGAACATCTCCAACTTTCATAGGTTTAACAGCTTTCCCACAGGAAGCAATAATGATATTATGCATGTACAAGATTTTATGAATGAATCTACCCTAATAAACCATCTGTTTAGAATCTAGATGGTTAGATCCATGCTTGAAGGAATGCTTTTATGCAGATGCACTTTGAGTATTACAATATATCAGAAAGCCAACCTGATATTTAAGTACACATTTCTAGACAGTCTTTGTAATACTACCCTTTCTCCAATTCAATCCCCATTCCCACGATCACATTATTCCAGCAAAAAGCAATAAGGTTCTTTAAAAAAGGGAAGAAAAGAAAGAAAAACTGATGTATTTATTTTGTTAAAAGATAAGAAAAAACCCCAACAAAAACTTGTAATAACTGGGAGCAATTCAAACCAGCGGGTGTTCAAATTATGACAACTTTAAAATGCTCTAAATTTTAAAAATCAAAAAAATAAAATCTGTACTACATAAAACAGAAGGATTTCAAGCTGAAAACATTCCCATTTTGAATTCAAAACATGTATTTTAAAATCAGAAAAGGACAATAACATAGAAACATTTTCTTCTGTTCAGAAACATATGCAGGATACTTCCCAACAAAATTGGTAAAACAAGTTTTGAGTTCAAACCATTTTGCACATCCCTAAGTCTAACTTTACTGCCTCTACTGACACTATGCTATTATCATTCCCTCATGGTCCTTAGCAGTGTTTTTGTTTGTTTTTTAAAATGTTGCTACCAGCATCTCACTAACCTATCTGGATAAGCAATCTGATTCTTGTATATGAAAATTATTCTCAGTTTGGGATCAATTTGTAGAATGGCTTTAGGCAAATATTAATTGATATTTATTTTTTAATCACTGGTTTGAAAAATGTAAAATCCAAATTGGATTACATTAGAAAATCAGAAAGCCTTTTCTCCTTTTGCATCTAAATTCAGTGATCAAACCAATTCTAGGAACACTCTATACCTGGAGATAATTCTGAAAATGAACACACAAATTCCAAAAATAAGTGAACAAAGTTGTTATTTCAGTGACAGGCAGCTGAACTTTGTTTGTAGAGCATCCTGACCACATCTTGTCTTAAGGCAGGCCTATAAACTTTGACATAAAATGAAATAAATAAATGTTACTCTTTCTGGCTGTTGCCCTACTGGTGGGAGGGGGGGGGGAGAATCTACTGTAGTTCCACAGATGCTTTCTTGACCTCATGCTGTGACCCTTATACTAGCATTCACAGGCTGCAGGTCATGACCTCATGAATTAGCATCATGAAAATAAGGGCCATTTCAGGTTCAGCTTCAAAACAGGCCACTGTATCAGGCTATTTTTAATGAGATTATAAGGTCTGTTTCGAGAAATCCATTAGAAGATAATATGCAAACCAGATTTCAGCTTCCGATTATTTCAACTCTTGTTCTGAAATTCTAAACTATGAAAATAAAACTATGATTTCTGCAAATGTAATTGCAAGTTGTTGTTGCCAAGCTTTTCTGGGAGAAAATATTCATGGTATTTGCTGCAGTTTGTTTCTATTTGATCGTTTATATTTCGGACATATCTTATGCTGATGCTTTCATTTGTCTGTTTTTTAAACTTGCAGTCATAGATCAAGAAATACAGAAGAAACATGTTAAGAACCAGATAAAAAGAAGAAAGTAAAATTCACATCCAGAAGCAGAATACTTCTTTTGTTGTATCAAACTCTGATTTCTGTCCTTGGAAAATGTCTTGGAAAATTCACTGATAGAAGTACAATATCCCTGCTTCTATTATCTCTGTAAAAGGGTCAAGGATTCCACTGTATTTATCCAGCAAAGAAGTAATCAGTTGCTTATAAGAGACTTCTTTTACGTTTTTTTTTCCAAAACAGCAGTAAGTAAAGCATCACAGCAAGCAAAGTGGAGAATATTTTAAACACTTTCATTAAATTTAGAATATTAGAAAGTTTTTAAGACCCTGTCAATGCCAATAGCCAGTGATTTCATTTGAAATATTTTTTTCTCTCCCATTTTTTAGTTCTTGGTTAGTGTGCCTTTTTGTTTTATAAAAACAGCAAAACATATATTTTTAAAAAAGGAAATTGAAAGTCTTCCATTATTTTGCCCAGCAGGGGGAGCCAGCACACCCAGCCATGCCATATGTGCACAGTCTGAGGTGATTGAATGCACTTAAGATCAGTTTAGAAGCTCAGTAGTAATAAAAAAATATTTAAGCCACATACAAATGAAAAACGTATTCTTACCTCTTTCAGGAAATTCTTGTGGGTAGCTGCAGAAAGGAAAAAGAAGGGGTGGGAAAAGAGGATACGGTAAGTGTTTGCAAATCTAAAGAATAGTGCATGTTTTTTCAGGTTAACAAAATGATATCCCACAACTAATTACTGGAAGGCACTTTGGGCAACATTACCTCAAAAATATGATCTAAGGTTTGAAGAAGTCTTTCATGAGATTAATAGTTGCATATTTGTAATGAACAAATAATAACTGTATTATGTTGCACCTCAGCTTCAATTGAAAACATCAACATATTAATATGGAAAACAGAAAAAAAATCATCACTACTCTGAAAAATTCACAGTATGTTTAAGAAAGATTAAGGTAATGCTTGGATAAGTTCAAGAACAAGAAAAACAATTACAGTGAGTTAAAATCTGACAACAGCACCTAGAGGACAACACAAATATACACCTGTAAGAATGTTGCTGAATACCACAATGTTAAGACAGAAAAGAAAACATACAATAGCTAGAACCATTCCTTGGGTCAGGATGATTTGTGAATCTGCATTGATAGGGGGATATTATTTCCTGATATTCAGTGGTTCATACCCTGCTATTATTATAATAACAACAACAAGTGTTAACTTTTTCTACTTGTTTTCTTATTTTAATATATTGCATGTGCCTAGAGATGCTCATTCCAAGGAAGTGAGTTATAAATTAAATAACTAAATAAACAACAATGGACAACAAACTGTATCCATATAAATACCACCCAGACAGAAGACAAAAAGCTAAGGGATAGATGCCGCACTTTTATTGTGCTAAAGCATCCCTGGGCAAGAACCTGATCCTATCATTACCTCAATAAGCAAGCCAAGTCACACAACTATTCTAGTATCATTTGGTACAATTTGTTATATTCCTCAAATCTGGCTCTGGTGTTAAACCTTTGCATACAATAAGCATTTTATCAGTGTTAAATGATATAGTGGTAGGTGCAAATTATCCAAGGTAAGCATTATTCTTGATAGGGAAGAAAGTTATACTGGCAAAAAGCCAAGCTATCAGTCACAAATCATACCCATCATGGCAACAACCTCTTATATTGCTTATCTATTTTGTCACTTCTCCAGACAACCACAGCAGCACAACAGTCAGATATAATACTGTAAACAAGCATGACATGGAGAAACCATGTATCAGACAAGAATAGCAAGACATAAAGGTTTTCAGCGCACATCAAGTTTCTTTCAAAAGCATTATCTACTTTCATAAAGTCCAGAGAAATATTACTTTGCTCTGTTGCAATGCCTCATTTTGCAAGAAATAATGGTTCATGCTAAGATTTATATAATTAAATAAATAGTCACCCTAGAATGAATGTAGTAAGAGTTCCAGCATTGCTAATTTCTGATGTGGAAGGCACCATTTCAAAACTTCCAGATGTATCAAATGCTTCTGTAAACATTGGTCGCAAAGAAGAACAAGACTAGATACCAAGTATTAGAAATTTCCAAGAATTCCAACAATAATAGATCAACAATGGAACTTATTACCTAGATAGCTTTGAGCATCAATTCATAAAACAGACAACTATCTGTCAGGAATACTTTAATTGGGATTCCTGCCCTAAACAGAGTGTTGGTCTTGATGGCCTACAGAGTCCTGTCTAACTCTATGATTCAATTCAATCCTATACTGGATTGTGAGGATTCTTGACAAAGAGATTCACTTGACTAAATTACAAAGCATTACTTGTTAGCTACACTTTTAGAAACCTGTCTTGCTAAGAATGTCTGAAATTACTTTTCTGACATCTAATATAAGCTATCATTACCTCACTTCATTCCAAAAACCATGAACCATTCACAAACTGCCAGAACTGCGGCCAACTCCAAGCAAAACAGAAAAGAAAAGAAAAGAAAAAAGGCAAAGCAGCAGAAATGTAACAATCTTTTTAGTCTGTTAAGAGCCATGGTGACACAGTGGTTAGAAAGCAGCATTGCAGGCTTCCAGTTTTGCGTAGTAGCACAGCAGCTGAGGTATCCTGGGGCTCCACACCCTACGGCCGATTATTTTCTATTTGGGGACCCTAAATGAGCCTAAACTCTCCCCGGAGAGGCGACAAATAAGGAGAGGTGCCCTGCCAACCATGGAGAGACAGTGGTCGATCCAGTTGTCCAGGGAAAGCCCTCCAGAAACTAGCAGAAGAACAGCTAGCTTCACTCCAGAGTCTAGTCCAAGCTACAAGCAGCCAAAGCCAAAAAGCACTAATTTAAGCTTGATTGTAAACAACATGTTTGGAACTGGGTAAGAATACCAATTCCCTCTTTTCTACTCGATAATTGATTTCCGGGGGGGGGGACCTAAGGAGTAAAAATCCTCCGAAAGTGAGAAGGAGGGGGACTTTTGCTCCACCCTATCACAGCTGGAAGTGGCAAATTAAACTTTCATGGGGGACAGAAATACATTGAAATGAAATGAATAAGGATAAGTTTGAAATTGGTGGAATTAGTTAAGATTTTCTTATCAAAAGATTATTGATGAAAACAGAAGTAATTGTTTTGAAAACTGAAAAATGAACTGGTACTGACATCTAGTGGTAGATGAAAATATACAATTGTAGTTGCTCTGATACAGGAATTGGTAGAAAGCCCAGAAAAAAGATAACCTGTTTTAGTGATCTTCAATATTTTAACTAAATGGAAAACAACTGCAACAAAGAAAAGAAAACATTTTGAGCTATCTACAAAGTGAGAACCATAAACCTTAGGGGGAAAAACTGATCTTCCTGGATTATAAATACTTATTGAACTGTGACTCTAAAGCTGTTTGCAGAGAAAGGAAAACTTTGATTTTTTGGCTATCATGGAACACCAGAGATCTTCAGAAAGAACATATTAAGAAAAAACAAATACTTTTCAGGAGGAAATGTATGCTATGCTGCAACTAATTCAAATGACAATGACTTCAAACCATGAGGAAATTAAAAACAACTTTGAAAATATAAATGAACACATCTTCAATTTAACCTCACAACAAAAAAACTCTCAGAAAATAAAAAGAGAAAGCAATCAAATAAAGCAGACAATTGAACATAACCCAGAGGAAAGAGATTTAAAGATAGAACCCAACAATGGAAGGAATTATGACTTAACCCAGGCCGAGAAAAACTTGCAGGAAATATTGGGTATGGAAAAGATAACTTATACTTCAAGATTGCAAAATAAACCTGAGGACAAGAAAAAAGATTCGACAAAATGGATTACAGAGCTGTCAGGAGAACTATGAGAACTTAATAAAAAATGAAAAAAGAAATTAAGAGAGAAAGAAAAATATTTTCAATGAATACAAAGGGGCGAAACAGTCCTACAAAAACATCTTACTTGACTTGTCTCTTGTACCTACAACAACATCCACAAGACTATGGGAAGACCTTCTGGTCCAACGGAGCATACTGATTAGGAAAGTTATTTGGAAAAAAAAAGGCTAAAGTTAGAATTAAGAAATTAGATGATGGGATTTATTAGATGGAATATCTAAAGATTAAACACTTGTTTAAATATGATTAAAGAAATAGAAAAATTCTGGATATAAATGAATTTTAGTTTAAGAGGGATGGGCCCCTCAAGTAACATAGTATTTTTATGATATGAGAAATATAAAAATGTTGGGATGGTTTATATGAGGGAAATGTTTTAGATACTTAAATGTAATTGATTTTGAGAAAATTTCAATTGATAAGAATGTTCTGAATAGATTTAAAAAATTAGATGATTGGATTTATTAGATGGGATACTTAAAGATTAAACATTTGTTTGAGTATGATGAAAAGAATAGAAAAATTCTGAATATAAATGTATTTTAGCTTAAGAGGGACATGTTTCTCAAGTAGTATACTATTTCCCTTTTTTCTTCTCCTTTTTTGTTTTTGTTTTAAGATATGAGAAATGTAAAATTGTTGGGATAGCTCGTATGAGGAAACAGATTTAAATATGTAAGTGTAATTAACTGATGAAATCTTAACTGGTAAGAATGTTTTGAACAATGCAGGGAAAACAAATCTAAATAAGAACTCTGAAAACAGGATTTATGACAAGGTAATTAAGATGATCAATTAGAAAAGAAGCTTTATATTGATGTGGTTGTTACTTGTAGAAATACTACAAAAATGTTTATATTCAATCGTTATCAAAATACTAAGAAATGTACTAACTCAAGGTTGATAAAAGAAAATATTATTGGAAGAAGAGAAAATCAAGGAAAGCTACTATGTGGATTATGGAATTATAGAAATTAATTGTTATTGATTGTTTTTAAATATAAACCCAGACAACATACTGTTTATCAAATATTAAGGTGATTATGTTAAAAAAATAATAAAATATATTTTTTTAAAAAGCAGCATTGCAGGCTAAATCACTGCTCACTGCCAGGAGTTCAATTCTGACCATCTCAAGGTGGACAGTCTTCCATCCTTCTGAGCTTAGTAAAATGAGAACCCAGATTGTTGGGGGCAATATGCTGAATCTGTAAATCGCTTAGAGAGGGCTGTAAAGCACTATGAAGCGGTATATAAGTCAAAGTGCTATTGCGATTTCTATTGCTGTCAACCACTAGAAAGTTAGCAAACCCAGAAAAGAAGCTTTTGTTGAATTTCTGGAAACATCTCTATTTTAAGAAGGTAAAGTAACAGAATCTTGAAAACCTACTCAGACTATTTTCCAGATCAACCTATACCTAGCATAGTTACTCTTCAGTCTTTTTCTAATGCTTGCTCATCTCCACACAGCTGAGATGTCTCTTATGTACTGGACCTGTTTTCTCTCTATGTTCCTGAAACCTACTAGACATTTCATTATATATTCATATGGAAAATGTACAAAAAGAATTCAAATCCTTTCTTTTGTGCAAGTAAATGTCATATACATGGCTTCTAATTCATAATTAATTGTATCACTAGATTATTGTTGAACATTTTTGCATGACCTCTATAAACATTTCTTAATGAATTTTTTTAGACATCAGTTGTCCATGTTTAATTTGA